TCTTTTCTTTCTTTCTTTCTTTCTTTCTTTCAGTGTAGTAGAACTAACAGCCGTTAAACATTTCTTTTTTTTTCTTTTCTTTCTTTCTTTTCTTTCTTTTCTTTCTTTCTTTTCTTTCCTTTCTTTTTTTTTTCCAGTGTAGTAGAACTAACAGCCGTTAAACAGTGTAGTAGAACCAATAGCCTTTAAACTTTCTTTCTTTCTTTTTTCTTTCTTTCTTTCTTTCTTTCTTTCAGTGTTTCGTTTTTCTTTCTTTCTTTCTTTCTTTCTTTCTTTTTCTTTCTTTCCAGTGTAGTAGAACTAACAGCCGTTAAACACTTCTTTCTTTCTTTTCTTTCTTTTTCTTTCTTTTCTTTCCAGTGTTTTTTAAACATTTCTTTCTTTTCTTTCTTTCTTTCTTTCTTTTCTTTCTTTTTTTCTTTCTTTCTTTCTTTCTTTCCAGTGTAGTAGAACTAACAGCCGTTAAACATTTCTTTTCTTTCTTTTTTTTTCTTTTTTCTTTCTTTCTTTCTTTCTTTCTTTCTTTTTCCAGTTAGTAGAACTTTCTTTCGTTTCTTTTTTCTTTTCTTTTCTTTCTTTCAATCTTTTTTCCAGTGTTAAACATTTCTTTCTTTCTTTCTTTCTTTTTCTTTCTTTTTCTTTCTTCTTTCCAGTAGTAGAACTAACAGCCGTTAAACATTTCTTTCTTTTTCTTTTTCCGTTAAACATTTCTTTCTTTTTTCTTTCTTTCTAACAGCCGTTAAACACATTTTCTTTCTTTTCTTTTCTTTTCTTTTTTCTTTTTTCTTTTTCGTTTTCTTTTTTTCTTTTTTCTTTTTCCAGTGTCTTTAGAACTAACAGCCGTTAAACATTTCTTTTCTTTCTTTCTTTCTTTTCTTTCTTTTTTTCCAGTGTTTTTTTTCTTTCTTTCTTTCTTTCTTTCTTTCTTTCTTTCTTTTTCCAGTGTAGTAGAACTAACAGCCGTTAAACATTTCTTTTCTTTTCTTTCTTTCTTTCTTTCTTTTTCTTTTAAACATTCTTTCTTTTCTTTCTTTCTTTCTTTTCTTTTTTTTTTTCTTTCCTTTGTAGTAGAACTAACAGCCGTTAAACATTTTTCTTTTTCTTTCTTTCTTTCTTTCTTTCTTTCTTTCTTTCTTTCTTTCCAGTGTAGTAGAACTAACAGCCGTTAAACATTTCTTTCTTTCTTTTCTTTCTTTCTTTCTTTCTTTCTTTCTTTCTTTTTTCTTTCCAGTGTAGTAGAACTAACAGCCGTTAAACATTTCTTTCTTTCTTTCTTTTTTTTTCTTTCCAGTGTAGTAGAACTTTAAACATTTCTTTTCTTTCTTTTCTTTCTTTCTTTTCTTTCTTTCTTTCTTTCCAGTGTAGTAGAACTAACAGCCGTTAAACATTTCTTTCTTTCTTTTCTTTCTTTTTCTTTTTTCTTTTCTTTTTTCAGTTAGAACCAACAGCCGTTAAACCTTTTTTTTTCTTTCTTTCTTTTCTTTTCTTTCTTTTTTTTTCTTTCCAGTGTAGTAGAACTAAAGCCGTTAAATTTTCTTTTTTTTTTTTTTTCTTTCTTTCTTTTTTTCTTTCTTTTTTCTTTCTTTTCTTTTTTTCTTTCTTTCTTTCTTTCTTTCTTTCTTTCTTTCTTTCTTTCCAGTGTAGTAGAACTAACAGCCGTTAAACATTTCTTTCTTTTCTTTCTTTCTTTCTTTTCCTTTCAGCCGTTTCTTTTTTCTTTCTTTCTTTCTTTCTTTCTTTCTTTCTTTTCCAGTGTAGTAGAACTAACAGCCGTTAAACATTTCTTTCTTTTTTCTTTCTTTCAAAACTTTAACAGCCGTTAAAACTTCTTTTCTTTCTTTCTTTCTTTCTTTCTTTCTTTCTTTTTTCTTTCTTTCTTTCTTAAACATTTTCTTTCTTTCACTTTTCTTTCTTTCTTTCTTTCTTTTTTCTTTCCAGTGTAGTAGAACTAACAGCCGTTAAACACTTCTTTTCTTTCTTTTTCTTTCTTTCTTTTTTCTTTCTTTTCTTTAAACATTTCTTTCTTTCTTTCTTTCTTTCTTTCTTTTTCTTTCCAGTGTAGTAGAACTAACAGCCGTTAAACATTTCTTTCTTTCTTCTTTCTTTCTTTTTTTTTCTTTCTTTCATTTTTAAACATTTCTTTTCTTTTTCTTTCTTTTTCTTTTCTTTCTTTCTTTCTTTCCAGTGTAGTAGAACTAACAGCCGTTAAACACTTCTTTCTTTCTTTCTTTCTTTCTTTCTTTCTTTTCGTTTTTTTCTTTTTTCTTTTCTTTCTTTTTCTTTCCAGTGTAGTAGAACTAACAGCCGTTAAACACTTCTTTCTTTCTTTTCTTTCTTTCTTTCTTTTTTCTTTCCTTTCTTAACAGCCGTTAAAACTTTCTTTCTTTCTTTCTTTCTTTTTTCTTTCTTTCTTTCTTTTTCCAGTGTAGTAGAACTAACAGCCGTTAAACATTTCTTTTCTTTCTTTCTTTCTTTCTTTTTTCTTTCTTTCTTTTTTTCTTTCTTTCTTTTGTAGAGAACTTTAAACATTTCCAGTTAGTAGAACTTTCTTTTTCTTTTTCTTTCTTTCCTTTCTTTGTAGTTTCTTTTCTTTCTTTCTTTTTCTTTTTTCTTTCTTTCTTTTTCTTTCCAGTGTAGTAGAACTAACAGCCGTTAAAACTTTTTTCTTTCTTTCTTTCTTTCTTTCTTTCTTTCAGTGTAGTAGAACTAACAGCCGTTAAACATTTTCTTTCTTTCTTTCTTTCTTTCTTTTCTTTCTTTTCCAGTGTAGTAGAACTAACAGCCGTTAAACATTTCTTTTTCTTTCTTTCTTTCTTTCTTTTCTTTCTTTTCTTTTCTTTCCAGTGTAGTAGAACTAACAGCCGTTAAACTTTCTTTCTTTCTTTTCTTTCTTTCTTTCTTTCTTTCTTTCTTTCCAGTGTAGTAGAACTAACAGCCGTTAAACATTTCTTTCTTCTTTTTCTTTCTTTCTTTTTCTTTCTTTCCAGTGTTTCGTTTTTTCTTTTTTTCTTTCTTTCTTTCTTTTTCTTTCTTTCCAGTGTAGTAGAACTAACAGCCGTTAAACATTTCTTTTTTCTTTTTTCTTTCTTTCTTTCTTTCTTTCTTTCTTTCTTTCTTTCTTTCCAGTGTAGTAGAAACAGCCGTTTCTTTTCTTTCTTTCTTTCTTTCTTTCTTTTTCTTTCTTTCTTTCTTTCCAGTGTAGTAGAACTAACAGCCGTTAAACATTTCTTTCTTTTTTTTTTTTCTTTCTTTTTCTTTCCAGTGTAGTAGAACTAACAGCCGTTTCTTTCTTTCTTTCTTTTTTCTTTTCTTTCTTTTTCCAGTGTAGTAGAACTAACAGCCGTTAAACATTTCTTTCTTTCTTTCTTTCTTTTTCTTTCTTTCTTTCTTTCTTTCTTTCTTTCTTTCCAGTGTAGTAGAACTAACAGCCGTTAAACACTTCTTTCTTTCTTTCTTTCTTTCTTTCTTTTAAACACTTCTTTCTTTCTTTCTTTCCAGTGTAGTTCAGCCGTTAAACATTTCTTTCTTTCTTTTTCTTTCTTTCTTTCTTTCTTTCTTTCTTTCTTTTTCTTTCTTTCCAGTGTAGTAGAACTAACAGCCGTTAAACATTTCTTTCTTTTTTTCTTTCTTTCTTTCTTTTCTTTTTCTTTCTTTTTTTTTCTTTCCAGTGTAGTAGAACTAACAGCCGTTAAACACTTCTTTCTTTCTTTCTTTCTTTCTTTCTTTCTTTCTTTCTTTCCAGTGTAGTAGAACTAACAGCCGTTAAACATTTCTTTTTTTTCTTTCTTCTTTCTTTCTTTCTTTCTTTCTTTCTTTTCTTTCTTTCTTCCTTTCCAGTAGAACTAACAGCCGTTAAACATTTCTTTTTCTTTCTTTCTTTCTTTTCTTTCTTTCTTCTTTTTCTTCCTTCCTTTATTTTTTCCTTTTTTATGCATTCCAATCTATTCTTTCCAGTGTATTTCCATTTCAAATCTGATCAATATTTTAAGTTTATCTTTTCTTTCTTTCTTTCTAATGTAGTAGAACTAACAGCCGTTAAACACTTCTTTCTTTCTTTCTTTCTTTCTTTCTTTCTTTCTTTCTTTCTTTCTTTCCAGTGTAGTAGAACTAACAGCCGTTAAACACTTCTTTTCTTTCTTTCTTTTCTTCTTTCTTTTTTCTTTCCAGTGTAGTAGAACTAACAGCCGTTAAACATTTCTTTCTTTTCTTTCTTTCTTTCTTTCTTTCTTTCTTTCTTTCCAGTGTAGTAGTAAGTAGAACTTTTTTTTCTTTCTTTCTTTCTTTCTTTCTTTCTTTCCAGTGTAGTAGAACTAACAGCCGTTAAACATTTTCTTTCTTTCTTTCTTTCTTTCTTTCTTTCTTTCCAGTGTAGTAGAACTAACAGCCGTTAAACACATTTCTTTCTTTCTTTCTTTCTTTCTTTCTTTCTTTCTTTCTTTCTTTTTTCAGTGTTAGAACCAGCCGTTAAACATTTCTTTCTTTCTTTCTTTCTTTTCTTTCTTTCTTTTCTTTCCAGTGTAGTACAGCCGTTAAACACTTCTTTTCTTCTTTTTTTCTTTCTTTCTTTCTTTCTTTCTTTCTTTTCTTTCTTTCCAGTGTAGTAGAACTAACAGCCGTTAAACATTTCTTTCTTTTTCTTTTCTTTTCTTTTTTCTTTCCAGTGTAGTAGAACTAACAGCCGTTAAACATTTCTTTCTTTCTTTCTTTCTTTCCAGTGTAGTAGAACTAACAGCCGTTAAACACTTCTTTCTTTCCAGTGTAGTAGAACTAACAGCCGTTAAACATTTCTTTCTTTCTTTCTTTCTTTCTTTCCAGTGTAGTAGAACTAACAGCCGTTAAACATTTCTTTCTTTCTTTCTTTCTTTCTTTCTTTCTTTCTTTCTTTCTTTCAATACGACTATTTTAGGTTTATTTATGTTTCTTTCGTTCTTTCTTTCTTTCTTTCTTTCTTTCTTTCTTTCTTTCTACGACTACTATCTTTTATTTTTTTCTCTCGACTGTCCTTACTTTCTTTTTTCTTTTTTCATTTATTTCATTTTTCTTCGTTTTCATTCATTTCGATTTTGTCTTTTTCATTTCTTCCTTATTTTTCGTTTTTTTTTTTCACTACTGTTTATTTTCTTTCAGTTTTATTATTTTCTTTCTTTTTCACTTTTTCTTTCTTTTCTTCTTTATATATCATTTAATCTTTTTTTTTCTTTTCTTTCCTCTTTCTTTCTCTTCTGAGCAATTGTCATTCCTCATTTCTTTTTTCGTTCATTAACTCTTTGTTGAAGTAAGTGTTGACACACATATAGAATGTACGAAGAACTTTATTCCGGAGAATAATATGGTACGCCGAGGTATTTAACCGAGACCTCCACACAAGGTGACATGTGGCACAAGGCTGGTTTTTAACATGGGGTTTTCCGAAAATTCCCCGTAAACCCCGCATACGGTGACTGTCTACATCCCTAGACGAGACTCTGCCCGTAGGCATAGACTCGTCTGAGTTCTTCTCTGCCCGAAGGCAGAGGGACGACAAGCAGGGTAACGATTAAGCGTTAACTCCTCAGTATTTACCCGAAACCTCCCCACAAGGCGTGATGTGGCACAAGGCCGGTCTTTAACTTGGGGTTTTCCGAGCGCGTACGCTCGGGCAAAAATTCCCCGTAGACACTGGACAGACAGGTTCGAGCATCTGCTTACCTCTCCAGACGAGATTCTGTCCGGAGGCATAGCCTTGTCTGGGTTACTCTCTATCCGAAGACAGAGAGATCGGCTAGCACAGCTTTAACGAAATCTATCGTTAACTGCTCTCCTTCAAAGAGAGTGCTTTTTAAATAGTCTTAGACCAGTCCATCTTTTGGGGGTGTTCAGCTACTCCACAACACTCTTTAACGATGGTATTCTGATCTCCTATGATATTTATAGGAGATCAAATACTCACTATGTGCTTCATTTATTTTTTCTCGGGCCGTGATGATAATACGTGGATAAAGAAAAATTATCTGCACTTTCACCATAACATATCTTTAGGTATGTCACACTGCCTTCTTCTCATGCGTTCTTATAGTTGGTACTATTGTGGTCGCCTGATCGAAGTTTGAGATTGATCGCGCCAGTGTTATTGTTGCTGTTACAGTGTAAACATAGCCGCAACGTTAGCAGTGTGCACCAAGAAATAGCAGTGATCCGATTTCTCTGGTCGGATGGCGTGTCAGGGGCTGAAAATCACCGGTGGCTTTTAACACAATACGGTGATACAGTACTGCCGCTTAGAAGTATGTATGACCGGATGTAAAAGTTTAAAAGTGGCCGGAAAGGGGAAGGGGTATTTGCACGTAAGTGAATATAACGAACCAGACTGGAATTGAAACTCGACTCTTCGTTTTCCAATTCCGAGCTGTTATCCATTATACCAGCCGCACATCCAAGCTTACAATACCTGGTATTCCCAAGCGGTCACCCATCTAGTTACTGACTAGGTACGAGGTTGCTTAACTTTCAACGTGATATGGTCATTAGCTCGAAATGCCAAGAACTTGCGTCATAGAATGACAAAGCCACTCAATTACGCCGGCAGTCAGTGCCCTTCACCTCGTAAACAGCGACACTGTCTCGAGCAATAATGGCCAAGAGACTCAAGTTTGTCTCTCTAATTGGTTTGCTTGACATGACGACTGTCCTTGTCTCTCTAAGTCTCTCGTTTCATCTGCATTCAACACATCTCTACAGCCAATCGCTTCTTCGGACCAACGTCTTATCCAAGGATCACATTTATTCTCATCCTCTATTGTTTTATTTCCTTTCCTTACCTAAAACACACACACAATATATATATATATATATATATATATATATATAGCACATTGAGTGTCAGTGCTAAGAAAATAGTGCTCGATGTATAATAACAGAGCTATAATTCATATTAATAATAAGCATGTATTTATATTTCCTTGCCAGTAGCGCATTAGTAATACGCATAACACCTCGAAGAATTTAAATCTTTTTTGTACCCCCCACCCCCGATGCCGAAAATCTGCTCTGAATCGTAAAATAAAAAAAAACGCAATAAAACTAATTAGAAAAGATTTTAATTGCTTTCATGAATAAGATATATGATGGACACTATTGTTTGAAGAAAAAGGTTTTTCGATGAATGATAAATATTTGCAAGAATTGTTTTCATTTATTTTTTAATTTTAATTAGAATAATTTATCAAGTTTTAAATAATTTAAATTGATGCATTAATTTTTTACCGGTTATTACTTACCTTCATCGACCCACAATATTTTTAAAAGAATTTTGCATTTTTTTTTTTTTTTTGCATGTGTATAAATGTGCCGAGTTTTGTAAATCCCTACATGACATTATCAGAAATTAAGAGTGATAACTAGAGCAAATTTAAAATCAAAGTACCTAAGATTCAATAAATCATCAGATTACGGAGAAAAAGGGGAATGATCAGATAAAAAGTAGATACATTGAATTGTTTTGTCATTTCGACAAAGAAATCATCATCGCATTATAACCATCACAATTACAAATTAATAATAATAATAATAATAATAATAATAATTGACAGGAATAAAATGAAATAATATAAATTAAAAAAACGTAAAGTAAAATAAAGTAAGTTAAATAAAAATTAAATAAATTTTTAAAAAATTTTTTAAATTAAAATTATATATTTATATAAAAATACACATAAAAAGTATTAATTAAATTAATTTATTAAAATTAAGAGATAAGTAAAGAACAATTTTAAGGAATTAAACAAAAATACCTCTTTTTAACTTGCCCATTCCTGAAAGAAAAATCATTTCCAGCTAATCGGCTAATGATTAATTTTACTGTCTTTCCTTTCTTTCCTTCCCTATCTCACAATCTCCTTCCTTTATATATATATATATATATATATATATATATATATATATATATATATATATACACTGTGTGGGGGTCAGACCCTGGTTCGAATCTCACTATGGGCGATTTGTCAGGAAGGTTATGTTATCAGGCTGAAGTCTTGATTCCAGCGTGCGGGACCTTTTGAAAGTGCCTGAAAACCATAGCACGGGTTGACCCAAGCCTTGTAAGTGAAACTGAGTAGACGGAACCCTTGGGGGGCCGCCAATAGTTGTCACAAATCATCGTGGCCGAGGGGTTGAGCGTGCTGGCCTTGTTCACATTGTTGATCACGCGTGATAACTCGCTCTTTCCCAGTAACTAAGGTCTGCTCAGCATAGTTACAGTCTAAACCACAGGTGGGTTTTCTTGGTGTTGAATAAACACAAATGCACCTGAGCACGTGTCTGCAATAGGGATTGTCTAGCCGCCCTAGTAGACAGGTATCATCGAATACGAGTAGCCAGCCATACTAAAGAAATCCGACAGATTGTATTGCTATTAATAGAAAAATATGCGCTGTCCAGCAAAATATTTTACTTTAATAATATTTTTAAGAACAAGGACACAGGTTTGATTCCTGCCGGAGAGCGCAAAATTTTCTTTAATAATATTTCTCGAATATTCAGGCTGGTATGTGAAAGTAAATAAATATACAGTTTAATAAATATACGGAGCGTCTACTCAAGTATAGGTATCCACTAAGAATAATGTTTAAGTAATAAAATCTGTCGGATTAATAAAAAAAATCCATCTTCTTTAGAAATTGCTTTGTTTACGTTAAGATACGAAACTGATCAGATATGAAAGTTTCGAGAGTCTAGGAAAGATTTTCATTTACAAGGTATTTTCAAGTTTGTTTAATCGACAGCGAGTTGCATGAGTCTGTCTAAAACACATCGGATATAACGACGGTTTCTCCTGACAAGGAGGACGCAGCTTCGAATCCTGCCAATTTTTCTTTAATAAGATTTCTCGTAAAGTCAGTCCTGTAGACGAAAATAAATAAATTTACTGCTTAATGAATAAAAGGAGCGTCTACTCAAATATGGGTATCCCCAAAAAGTAACATTGAAGTAACAATATATATATATATGTGTGTGTGTGCGTATGTGTGTAAAATAGATAGGTTAGTTAATAAAATAAGGACAAAGGAAAGGGTACCACTATAATCAGTACAAAAAAACATTTATTAAATATTAATTATTAACCACATGACAGAAACAGGAAACCGGTTTTTAAGTCCGGAATTTTCGGACACTCCTGTGACCTTCATCGACGGACCGAGAAATAAACATAGAAATGGGAATTACTGACCGACATATGTTTTGTAGACGGTGTATATTCTGGTGGAATTCATATTATTAGCAAAAACCCGATCTCTGTCTGATCCTTTTTATGAACTTAAACTTAAATCTAAAATTTTAATCGGTGTAAGAGCGTTACACATGTACATTATTAGTAATAGGGGGTGTGAGGGGAATAAGATTGTAAACATAAATGAAGATATTTTATAAATGTTTTTCGTACTAATTATATTGGTACTCTTTCGTTTGTCCTTGTTTTATTAACTAACATATATATTTTACATACTATAAGAATCACACGTGGACACTTTCTTCTAATTATATATGGGAGGAGAAAATATATACATTTCTATGTACCAGAACTGTGTTAGATAGATAGATAGATAGATAGATAGATAGATAGATAAACAGACTGAGATAGATAGATAGATAGAACTGTTTCGTTTTCGGTCTATGTTGCCTACTTGACGGTTGTAGAATGTAAACACGACCTAAGCAACAGAAATAAGATGAGAGAATTTTTTTTTCAAAAATCAATGATAATAAAAATGCTTCTGAGACATGCAGATTATTTAAGTGTATTCCACCTACTATTGTTTGGTGTAAACAAAAAATATGACCTGAAATAATAATAAAAAATA